TAGCGGCGACTCGTGTGTGTGTGTGTGTGTGTGTGTGTGTGTGTGTGTGTGTGTGTGTGTGTGTGTTTTCTAAAACCGGTTATGCCTAAGTTATCCAGGGCTTTGAAAAGAAAAATTTCCCACATAAATGTCTGCTCTCTCCAGTTTTCCTTTTTAAGCCTCAGACTATATTAAACTGTACTAAACATCTTTCAAAAATGATGCCAAAAAAATACCTTTTCTTTCCAACCCATCATCACACGCATCAGCGTGCAGGAGTGTGGGGGGCAGCTGCCATGTGCCTGCAGCCTCAGAAACCCCACAAACTGCCTCTTCCTGCAGGTCCATTTTCTCTCGAGGTTTGGAGATAACACACTTTTACACTCAATCACAGAACATGTTTAGAGAGTAAAATGGAAAATGTGAATAATTTTTTAAGCTTACACCAGAGATTTCAAATACATTTTAGATTTATAATGGGCAGGCTCTGGCTGTACTGCGGCAGACAAAGCCCAGCACCTGGTAAGCTCTCTTCCCTGGAGAGGCTCCATTTGTACTCAAAGCAGGGGGTGCAGTGTCCTTCGCTCCCACATTAAATGTCACCAAGCTGCTGTGATTTTGAGTCCTGTGCCTGTGCTGGGGGTGGTGCCCCCTCCCCCACGCCGTGCCCCCCCAGTCTGCCTTTCTTTTGGCGGTGGGAGCCGGGGGACTGTTGCTATTCCTTTTGTGTGCTGGGGGTGGGGGTTAACATAAACTTAACCGTTCTTTTCTTTTCAAGAGCTAAAGTAGTTTTATTGAAATAATATCATTTCAATCCCCGAGTTGAGCATCTTTACATTTTCCTCTATGTTAAGCAACAGCTGACTTTTTCTTCCTTTTTCTATTGAGTTATAATTGGCATGTAACATTAGTTTCAGGTTTAACCATTTTAAAGTGTACAGTTCCGTTGGTCTGTTTTTATAAGTCAGATCATTGAGCTTGTCAAAGGTCTGCGTAGGAAGCTTCCTCTTCTGCCCCTAACCCTCAAACACCTGGCCTTGCGTGTCTTCCTCCCCAGCCCGTTCCCCCTTCATCCCGCCTCCTTCCTCCCCTCCCCAACTCAGCCCCAGCACTCCCTCCTTCCCTCTGCCTATGAAAGATGCTCCTGTCCGGGCTGACACCTGGAGCAGTCCCTCCTGTCTGCCTAGAATCACTCACCACCACGTTTCTTTTCTCTCTTGCTTCTCTTCTCCCCGTCTCCTCTCCCTTGTGCAAAAAGGCGTTCACCATGCTTGGGCATCCTTGATGTTCCATCAGTATTCCCCTGTGACGTCTGTGTCCCTGGCCTGGCTTTTAGCCCCGTCGAGGAGGGATCCTATATCTGTTGGCTCTGCCAGCCCAAGTCCTCCATCATTGTTGCTGGGTGACTGAGAACTCCAGCACACAGGCTCAGGGAATCCTGCTTTATATGCATTCCTGGCTCTTTGCTCCACTGCGGAGGGTTGTGATAAATGACCCCATGGGTGAGAGTTCCTCAGAGAGAAGACAGGTTTGCAGGACGATAAACTTTGACTTTTCTCCTGTCCTGTGACCTGTCCCAGGTCCACAGAGCAGACCTGCTTTGCTCCCTTACAAGTGACGGTCCAGGCTTATCCAGTGCCTGGGGGTCCCGGGGTGGGGGAGGCAGAGTACACATACGTGCAGCCCACCTGCCTGCCAGGAACAAATTCGGGAGTCATGGGGCCTCCCAGCCCCTTGGACAGGGTGTCTCAGCCTTGGACAGATGCCTGGATAAGCCAGTGATGCCTAAAGTGATTGCTCACCCCTCGGGACAGATGGCCGGGCAGGAATGGGAGACGGGACACTCATGAAAGCTTGGCCTGGTTTTCAGGGATGGTGCTCTTCCCACAGGTACATTCTCATCGATTGGCTGGTAGAGGTCGCGACCATGAAGGACTTCTCGAGCCTGTGCCTTCACCTGACCGTGGAGTGCGTGGACCGGTACCTGCGGAGGCGATTGGTGCCCCGGTACAGGCTCCAGCTGCTGGGCATCGCCTGCATGGTCATGTGCACCCGGTGAGAAGCCCCCTAGGCTGGGCCCGCAGACGGAACACAGCATGCTGGCGCTGCCCAGTTCACAGGCTGGCTTTTCAGTGGAACAAGCCTTCAGCACCCCACCTCCTTATGACAGGGATTTTCATTTTAGGGGGTGCCCACGCTGAGTGGTCCTACCCACACGGGGGTGGCAAGGCTGACCCTTGGTGTGTGGGCAGCCGCTCATCCCAACACGCGGCCTCAGGACCCAGAACGTGGCCTCTGTCAGGCAGGCTCAGGCTGGAACCCTCTTCCCCTGGCCCCTGAGGGCAACACAGAGATGAGGGAGGGTCACAGGTGGCTGCCCTTGCCAGTCCAGTTCTCAACTCTGCGTCCAGAGACCTGCGTTTCATCGGTGTTATGTGCCCCTCACCCCCAACTCCCCACCGACCCCCTCCAACCACGTGGGCAGGATGTGTCCTCAGAGCGGCAGCCTACCCCTGCAGCAGCTCTGACTTTTCAAATCAGACCATTTTAAGTTTTACCTAAATCCACCTTTCCACCCAGTTTTGCCTTTGGACACAATGTGGATGGCAGTTCCCACCATACATTTTGCATTTTCTTGTTTTCCTAAAGCAGACTTCTACGTGGTCTGTTATCTCCCCTGGGCGGTGCTTTCCAGACCAACATCATTATCTGTAAGGCTTTCAAGGGAGGAACAGGCTCATTGCACACAGTGGTGTCAACTATGGAGAGACTGATTTGTCTTCTGCATGGTAACCCAGAGGCTTGTGTCACTGGGATGGTTTATCTGTTTCATGATGTCATGAAGGAGGCCCAGGTCCTGACTTGCTCTCTGCTACCTGCCATGACCCCTGAGGCCACCAGGTCCACCTTTGCAGTGAGCACAGTCATGTGGCTACGACGGGAACTGGGAAGTGGGGTCTCTAGGTGGCTGTGGAAGCAGGGTCCTTGGGCTCAGGGTTGGTGAGCAAATGCCACACGCTGTCCAGCACCTCTCACGTGTGCTCTCAGAACCCGGCGTTCCAGGTCTTGTCACCAGAGAGGGCTGAACAGACGGGTCCCCAGCCTCCCTGGATCCAAATGGCATAGTTATGTCCTTGCAATGAGAGACTGAGGTACCAGACCACAGGCTGCTGGCAATGAGATGATAATTGCTTTAAAAGATTTTTAGAAGCCAAGATGCCCCTACATCCACTCTCAAAGCAGCACCTACCGCTGCTCCAAGCACAGGGCTTTCGCCCGCCCCACTCATAACATCCCCCAGCACCTGCAGTCCCTACAACTCCTGTCCTCTCTCTTGGCCCAGGCAACAGCAAACACGGGAGCTGCAGAGTCCCCATGACAGAGCAGCCAAGGGCCTGGTCCCAGTCCACCCTTGTGTGGGGAGGTGTCCTTGGCAGGCCGCTGGACTAGCGTGTTCCCTGATAGTTGGAGCTGGTGGAGAGTAGAGAACAGTGTGACCACCTGCCTAAGGACAGTCCAGTTCCCATGGCCAGACCCCATGCTGGGTCCAGACCTTCAAACAACCTCTATCTCTGGTTCTGCTGGCTCATCTGCCTTCTGGGTTAAAGCTGTTTATACTCGCTCCATAGAAGCTGACAAAAGGCAGGGCGAACCCTCATCCCTCAGGTCGTTAAGAGGATTGACCGATCATGTCATTCGTGGGTGTGTTTTGCAGAAACACCTGCATGCCTAGCAGTCCAGCAGCTCTCACTGCCACTGATCTGTGACACTAATCCCCCTTCCCTTCCAGCCCCCATGATAGGCTCATCTGACCTTTTCAGTTCCCCTCAGTGGCTAGGGGCAGCCAGGTCCACTCTTTGGACCCCCTTAACCCCATCACTGAAGCCTAAAGCGATCACCCCACTAAGGGGAGTGGGCTCAGTGGGCTCAGTGCTCAGACCCCTTCTTAACACTCCAGGTTCATGAGCAAAGAGATCCTGACGATCCGGGAGGCTGTGTGGCTCACAGACAACACGTACAAATACGAGGACCTGGTGAGGATGATGGGAGAGATCATCTCTGCCTTGGAAGGGAAGATTCGAGTAAGTGACCACTTGCTTTTTCCTTTTGAATCAAAGTTGAGGTCACGTGAGGGCATGGAGGGGCAGAGGGTATCTGCATGGCTTTGAGCTTCCCTGCTCTGGGAAGCCCTCCTGGACCCAGAGGGCGCGAGGCCACAGCTGTTTGGCGTGCACAGCAGTCGGGCCAGATGCTGGGCTGACCACGCCGAGGGTGGTGTGTCTAAGGTCCAGCCTCCCCACCGAGTGGGTGGAGGGGCCCTCTGTGTGCTGAGACCCCACGTCCACCTCCCCGTTCCCTCTAGGTCCCCACTGTGGTCGATTACAAGGACGTCCTGCTGACGCTGGTCCCCATGGCGCCAAGAACCCAGCACCTGTGCAGCTTCCTCTGTGAGCTCTCCCTGCTGCACACCAGCCTGGCCACCTATGCCCCGGCCCACCTGGCTGCAGCCGCCCTGCTCCTGGCGAGGCTGACACATGGGCAGAGTAAGGAGCTGGTCCTCCCCACCAGCCACTCAGAACATGGGCTGAGCCAGTGGTCCGGGGAATTCCTGGAGTCAGGAGCCAGTGCTCAAATTCAAGGGGGTTGGAGGGAGAAAAAGAAGTGTGTTCATCTCCTGGAGAAGGAAACACCAGAATGGACTAAAAGCCATTGTCTGGGGGTGAGGTTAGAGACAGTTCTAGCTTAATATTTCCCACGTTGTCGACAATGAGCACGCATGCTCTGTACCTGGGGCCTAGGAAACTCCATCCCAGAACCATCAGGGCTGTGGGGCGTGAGTGAGCATCAGAACGGCCCCACTATTCATGCTTTCCTCCCCAGCACAGCCCTGGACCACTCGGTTATGGGACCTCACTGGGTTCTCCTGTGAAGACCTCATCCCCTGTGTCTTAAGCCTTCATCAAAAGTGGTAAGCGTGGGCTTCCCTGGTGGTGCAGTGGTTGAAAGTCCGCCTGCCGACGCAGGGGACACGGGTTTGTGCCCTGTTCCGGGAAGATCCCACATGCCGCGGAGCGGCTGTGCCCGTGAGCCATGGCCGCTGAGCCTGCACGTCCGGAGCCGCAACGGGAGAGGCCACAACAGTGAGAGGCCTGCGTACTGCAAAAAAAAAAAAAAAAAGGGGGATTTACTTTGAATCGAAGTGGAATCCCATGGAAATTGAAGGTCAGGGGTCACAATAGTGCGGCAAAAAAAAAAAAAAAAGGTGGTAAGCGTGTAAGGAAGCAATTCCCCCCACAACCCCCCGACTGTCCCCCCACACAGAGGGTGTGTCCTTAATACAAGTCCAGGGGGGAATTTGCTCTCACGTGAGGGCTGTCAAGACACTCAGACCTTCCCCGCATGAGCCATGTGTCTCAGGATTGACGTTTAGAAATTCCAGGGCCATGTTGCTTATTTCATACGTTTTTAACATTTGATGTGTGGGCAGCAGCTCCCCGCAACCCAAATCTAATTCCATGGGCAGTGGAACATAAGAAAAAATGAAACTGTCTCCCTGACCAGCAGTAATTTCAGTCTAGGACAGGTTGGCCTCCAGCTCTGGAGTTGGCAGACTGCAGCCCCGGGCACACACCTTGGCCCTTTCTCTCGCCTCCTGTCTCAGCTTGGCTGGCAGACTCGCTCCTCCCACTCCTCAGTCTCACGTGCACTCGCCACTGCATGCATATCTGCTAAAGCCCCCAGGGACCTCCTCCTGCCTCCGGGTAATTCTGCCTTTCTGCCTGTCCCCAGACGCTCCCTGGGAGACTTAACCACTTCCAGGATTCAGAACACATCTAAAAGCCAACCTCTGACCCGAACCACAGACCCCCCTGCCAGCTTGTCCACCCCAGGCCATTCCTCGTAGATTTCATTTGGTGCTTGCTGGACAAGACCCCGGTCATCCTATCAGAGCCCTCAGGCCAGCCCATTTCTGCTTCTCTGTCCCTGCATCCCAGCGGCTCTCGGGGCCAATGCACTTTCTTCACCTGCCCACGGTCATTGCCCCAGCCGCCTCCTGGATTTCCACAGGGCAGCCTCTGAACACAGCACTTCTGCTTACACCTTGGGGATGAGATCAGAACTTGGGCACGAGTCTAGAGATTCCTCTGACCAGCCCCTCTGGCCCATCTGCCACTTCTCCCCCTCCCCGCTAACACGGGGAGCCTGTCAGCATTTCCTGGAGTAGTGTGTGCACCCCGTTTCTCCTGCAGGGCCCAGACCTCGTCGCTGGTGGACGGGAGCATGCGTGATGGTGGCAGGTCAACACATGTCTGCCCCCGAGGCTGCTCAGACCAGTGCAGGGTCGGTGCCTGACCAGGCTGCCAAAAGCTGCTGCTTGGCTGCCTTCCTACACCCATCCCCCGCCCCCCACCGAGTTTTTTTTTTTTTTTTTTCCCAATCCACACTGCCTGACCAGGCTGCCAAAAGCTGCTGCTTGGCTGCCTTCCTACACCCATCCCCCCGCCCCCCCCCGAGTTTTTTTTTTTTTTTTTCCCAATCCAGATAAACTGGAAACATATTTATTTACCAACGAAACTTTTTGTTAAAGTGTACAATTCAACAGGCTCTTGGTATATTCAGAATTGGGCAGCCATCACCACAAACCACAATCTATTTGAGAACATCTTCCCCACGCTCAAAAGAAACCCCGCCCTTGCTACCTATTACCTTCATGTTTCCCCTCCCCACCAGCCCCCAGCAAACACTCATCTATTGCCTGGCTCTTTCTGTTCTGGATGTTTCACCAACATGGAATCGTACAACTTGGGGCCTTTTGTGACCAGCCTCTCACCTACATAATGTTTCCACTGTACAAGTATCCCACTGGATGGAGGGACCACACCTTGTTTATTCAGTCGTGCACTGATGGACATTTGGGGTTTTTCTACCTTCCAGCTGTTGCAAATAGTGCCGTTGTGAACATATGTGTCCAGGTTTCTGTGTGGATCTCTGTTCCCCTTTCTCCTGGGGATGCACCTGGGGGTCATATGTGACTCGAGGAACCGCCAGACTGTGCACAGCAGTGCTGGGCTTCACTCCCATTGCTGGGCTGGTTTTGAAAATGTCTTGTCCTCTCTCACTTCAGTGAGTGGAGGCCTTTGGGGTGAAGGTGCCAGCACTGTCTGCCCCCTACTACCCCTCACGTGTCCCTCTGTCGGCAGCTTCCATGACGATGCCCCCAAGGACTACAGGCAGGTCTCTCTCACCGCCGTGAAGCAGCGATTCGAGGACAAGCGATACGAAGAGATCAGCCAGGAAGAGGTGCTGGTGGGTGCTAGGAAGTGGGGGTCCCCGTCTGCCCCTCAGGGCTTCGGCCCTCCCTCTGACCCCAGCTTCCCCTCAGGTGCTGAGCTACGGCCAGTTGTGTGCAACTCTAGGGGTGAAACAAGAGAGCCCAGAACCCGCATCTTTCCTCAGCACAGGGGACATTCACACCTTCCTCAGCTCTCCCTCTGGAAGGAGAACCAAGCGGTGAGTGAGCCCTGCGGGCCAGGCCTGGCTTCCCTCGTGACCTGTGCAGCCATTGGGGCTCCTGAGGAGCAGCAGGGAGAGAGCAGATCCTCAGAAAACTGAAGCTGCGGTTGGTAGTCTCCACTGCCTACAGTACCGTCTCCTTTCCCCAGTGTGGCTCTCTGGCTCCAGCCTGGCTCCCTGTGAGGGATGGTGGTCTTGAGCACAGGTTGAGCCCGCTCAGGCTCTGGCCCTGCCCCACGCCCGGTGTGAGCCATGTGGGACTGCTCTGCTCCACCACATTGTGGCACTCCCTGCACTCCAGCTGTGCCCTCATTGTGTGCATCCCTTTTATCCCTGTCTCTTCCATCTCAGTGTCCCAGCTGTACTGCCTGGAATAACCTCCCCCTCCCCCTCACCCACCTAAAGAACTCCTATCCATCCTACAAAGTCCAGATGAGCAGGAACCTCACCGTGCTGCTGGCCCTGTCTCTGTGAATCTGCCCTGAGCTTCTGAGGGCAGTTCCTGGGTGGCTGTGTTGTCCCTGCTCACAGCACATGGGGGCAGGGGCAGGCAGGTGCCAAGAACCAGACTGGGCCTCCCAACACTGCTGCCTATGACCCGGCTCCCGGCTCTCCCACCACACAGGAAACGGGAGAACAGCCTCCAGGAGGACAGGGGCAGCTTCGTCACCACGCCGACCGCAGAGCTGTCCAGCCAGGAGGAGACACTGCTGGGCAGCTTCCTGGACTGGAGCCTGGACTACTGCTCCGGCTACGAGGGCGACCAAGAGAGCGAGGGCGAGAAGGAGGGCGATGGTGAGTGCCAGGGCTGGAGACCACCGGTGCTGCCCCAGAGGGGACAGCGGGCAGGAGGGCCCCCAGCCTGAGCTGCAGGAGAGTGTGTCCGGACACAGGTAGACGTGAGAGAGCAAAGCCCCTGGAATACCAGCCCACAGGGAGGATAGGATGTGGGCCCAACCTGCGCCCAGCTCCAGCTGGACCTGTGCTGGTGGAAGGACCTCACCAGGTCAGGGACAGAGAAATAGACCTTTCTAGAAGGTTGTGTGAGATGTGCCCCCTGCTGGGCTCTGTCCCTCAGGCACCCATCTAGGGCAGGCTGCAGAAGGCTCTGTCCCCATGTCTCATCAGCCATCTGCACAGGAGGCCCAGTTCGACAGCTTCTGTTGATTTTCCAACTGCTATCTTTGTGTCCACTCAGGGGATTAACTAAATTATTAGATGGCCAGTTTGTTGTCACTTCCTACTGTCCCCTAAGTCACACTGGGTATTACCCCAAGTTTGAAAGGAGACACTTCACCCCCAATTTCTTTCATAAAGGAAAGGGGACTGTCCAGCGAGGTTCAGGATGTGTGGCCGAGAGCTGGACCCTGGGCTCCCCTGGGTCCTGACCGGGCACAGGGTCACCCTGATGCTCAGGCTATGGCCTGACCTCTCCCCCATCTCCCATAGTGACAGCTCCCAGCGGTGTCCTCGATGTCACTGTGGTCTACCTGAACCCGGAACAGCACTGCTGCCAGGAATCAAGCGATGAGGAGGCCAGCCCGGAGGAGGGGCGTCAGGACACACAGGCGTCAGCACCAGGCAGCCAGACGCCTTGGACCCCAGGGCTCGAGCGCCCTCTGTGCAGCAGGAGGGGGCCAGGCAAGGACATAACGACCTCAGGGTACTCCTCTGTCAGCAGCACGAGTCCCACAAACTCCACAGATGGCTTGGGGGGCCTTGCCCGATCTACCTCAGTACTGTCCCCGGGCAGCGACTTGAACACACAGCCTTGCCACCATCACGCGAGGAAGTCGTGTGTACAGTGTCGTCCCCCAAGCCCCCCGGAGAGCTGTGCTCCCCAGCAACAGGTGAAGAGGAAAAACCTGTCCGCCCACAATGAGGAGGAGGAGGACATGAACTTGGGCTTTTTGAAGCTGTGAGTGTGTCAGTGAGTTTGCTGCAGTTAATGTTGGCTGAAGTGAATGTTTGCTGAGGCAGGGCTGCTGTTGCACTAGCAAGGGGGAGGGGGGGCGCTGGAGATGGATCCCTGTAGACCCCTGGTGGCAGTCACATGGGGAATAGAAAGGAGAACTTGGGGCAGTAAGTTTCTTTCTCTAGGGGAGCCCATTGCGAGCCATCAGAATGTCTAAATCACAACAAAAACTCAGTTCCTTCTCGCTGGAAAGTTTAGCCTCAAAGCAATCATGCCATACTGTGTGAAGCCTATTTCTCTGTCCCCTCCCATGTTTGTCCTGCTTTCTCTGGGAAACTTAAGCCCACGTCCTGAACTTCCCAGCCCCACGGAGCCCCAGGCACCCCGGGAGCTGAGAGCTTTCACAGCTGAGAACATGTGTGACCCAGGTATCCTGGCACAGCTCACCCCCTCCCACATTTATCTGGTTTGGGGTTCCAGGGGGAGCCAATAGCTCTGATCACACCATCCCTACGCCCACATTGGCCTGCCCTGCCCCAGGCAGCCATTCCTTTCCTCACTGGGTGGTGGGTCCTATCGTGAGGGAACTCTGCCCCACGGATCATTTCAGACTGCGTGTGAATACCTGGCGAGTGGGCCCCGACATTTTTGCAGGCCAGGGCCTTGATGTCTTGGTCACAGGCTCTCTTCCTCCCATATTCTCAGCTCATTTTAGAAATCTGCCCCTTCTCCTGTGATGGTTTGTCTGTGTCCCCAACAGATGATGTCCGTATGAACATCGGAATGTCTGGGCCATTTCTTTCCCTGTCTTTATTTCCATCCTCCATCCCTCTAAGATAAAAAACAAAAGAAAAATTAAAAATAGAAGGTATGAGGGCTTCCCTGGTGGCGCAGTGGCTAAGAATCCACCTGCCAATGCAGGGGACACGGGTTCGAGCCCTGGTCTGGGAAGATCTCACATGCCGCAGAGCAACTAAGCCCGTGCGCCATAACTACTGAGCCTGCGCTCTAGAGCCCGCGAGTCACAACTACTGAAGCCTGTGCGCCTAGAGCCTGTGCTCCACAGCAAGAGAAGCCACCGCATCAAGAAGCCCGCGCACCTCAAGGAAGAGTAGCCCCCGCTCGCCGCAACTAGAGAAAAGCCCGTGCACAGCAACGAAGACCCAACACAGCCAGAAATAAATAATAAATTTTTAAAAAAACATTAAAAATATAAGGTATTAATTTTTTTTTAATTCTCAACATTATTTAGGCTCATCTAAAAAAAAGAAAATTCGATTCAACCCCTCAGTGCTATCCTGACACTGTATGCAAAACCAATTTTCCCAGAGAGGTTAGCCAGAAAAATAATTAAATGTCATTTGTAACATCTGAGGTGACCAAGATATAGAAGAGCAAGATTCAGAGGACCTGTTTGTTGGGTGAGGGTGGATCTGCTGTGAGTTCCTGGGAATAATGACCACAGGGACATGGGATCTGACTAAGACTGACCCTGACTTTTTTCCCCTGCTGACACACTCACCCTGCTGATAGCTTTTTTTTTTTTGGAAAAGGAAATGTTTTATTCCTCTTTGCGCAGAGCAGTATATGAAGGTGGCTATCATCCTGACTCCATACATCTCTTACACAAAAATGCTCCCTCCAGGATGCCCAGTTATCCACCCCACTTGGAGAACTGGCAGTTAGTGGGTGGGGGCAGGACGCTAAGTCTCAGGAAGGTTTCTTGTGACATTTTTGTGGGAAGTTTTGGGTCAAGGGGAGAGATGACCCAACAGTGGGTGTCCTGTCCTCCGTCTTCCTGGAGAAAGCCAAATCCCAAATGTCTTCTGAAGAAAGCCACCTCTCTCAGCGACCTAGGGAAGGGAGGCACCCAGACCTACTGCCCAGATGTAAGGCTGAGGCAGAGAGAGGACAGGGTTAAGCAGCAGAGATCGCAGACCCAAGGCAGAGGAGTGAGGTGCATGTGGGAGAGAGAAGGGGACTGAGAGAGCCCAGAGGCCCAAGTCATAAATTCCACCCTGTCCCCAGTTCTGAGCAGAAACTCTTCTTCCCAAGACTGGAATGGAGTTTTAGATCAGGGACTGGCTTTGCTCCAGGGCACAGACAGGGCAAGCCAGGCAGAGCTCGCAGGGGTAGTGAAGGTGGAAAGTTAAGGTATCAGACGGAGAGACAGACACTCCCACACCGAACACTCACAGACCACAGCAGTTTTGAAGCTATAAGCCAGGATCAGGGTAAAAAATGCAGCTGTGTCTGAAATACAGAATTTTATAAGCCCTCTCCAATAAAATTTAAATCACTGCGCCTTCCACTCTGTCCCCTGACTATGAGCTGTTCCCAATCTTTTTTCCAAGGCTGGAAGCCTGGGCAGTAAAAAGGAATGGGAGAAAATACCGAGTTCAGCAAGCGGGGCTGTGGCTGAGACTTCATATTCCTCTCCCCACCCACACTCCTATAGAAAAGAATTCTCTCTCTCTCCCCTTGCTGGACATATGGACTGTTGGGATGAAGGCCGGGTAAAGGCAAAGGGAGGAAACACATTCTTTCTCCTGCTTTGATCTGAAGTGTAGCTGCAGCAAAGGGCACAGAAGTGGAGGAGAAAATATGGGGGATAGGAGAGCATGGGAGTATAATCCAGTCGAGCAAGGAAGAGGGTGCTTCCCCTGCCCTGTGTCCAAATCTGCTGAGAGCTTTACTCCCAGGACTGCAAAAAAGAGTGAGAAGGAACGGGAAGCGTATACGGGTTTGCGAGGGGGCAACCACAGACAGGATGGAGATTTAAGGATCCCTGTTATCCCCTAGATGACCCTGAGAGCATCAGTTGTGGGGCTGGATGAGAAGTCACAGCAGACGTGGGTTTTTTGAGGGGGTGAGGAGCCAGGAACAGTGGGGTCTTCACCGAAGGAGTGACCACTTGATCTGTTCTTTGGCTGACTGCACCACCTGAGACACAGTCTGCTCCGTTAGGGGTGCATCTTCTCCCCTTAATGCCACCCAGTGTACCACTTGCTGGGGATCACTCTCCAGGATCACCCCTCCGTCTACGATTTCATCCACAGCCAAGAAGAGCCCCTCCATGTTCTCCAGCAGAGCTCGCTTTTCTACATTTTTCCTCAGCATCTGGCTCAAGGAGTCAAAGAGGCAATTCAGAACAGCCATGAGCATTAGCTCATTTTCACAGGAGCTGCCGATCACATAGAAATAGAGATCGATGCTGCTTTTGTATACCACTGTCAGGCCTTCCAAGAGGGCAATTTCACTGTCAGTCCGGTGGGTCTTGTTGAAAATGTTCTTCTCAAAGGCCTTTTGCTCCTTGACACTGGGGTAGGTGTCGTCATAGTACTTGGCAAAAAGTCGATCTCCATCATTGTCCAGAATCAGGATGGCTTTGACAGTATAAAGGGAGGGTTCCAAAATCAGCGCCTCCATTTTGCCCCACAGCTGGTGCCGATGTGGAGCTCTGCTGATAGCTTTTGCTTCCTCTCGAAAATGTCAGAAAGAACCACTTAGCCAGGAGTGTCCCCCAAATGCTCTTGAACCAAAACAACAGGGACAGGGAGATGGTGACTCTGTGAGGCTTTTCTGGGTGTTGATTTCCCTGTAGGAGCTCTTTTTGCTACTGTAGTAGAATTCTGACCATCCTGGGTCAGGCATGGTTGAGTAAGGGAATCCCAGCATAGGGATTGCAGACCTCCCTGTTGACTGTGTGCCCCTAGGCATGTGTGAGCCTCAGTTTCCTCATCTGTAAGATGGGGCAATAATACCTACCTCACAGGGGTGTTGTGAAGATTAAATGTGATGAGGGTAGTAGCAGCCCGTGATGTGCATGACTGAACTGCCTTCTCCCTCTCCAGTGGGGACCTAGTACCACCTGACCGTGGGGTGGGGTGGGGTCTCCCTGCATCTTCTAAGCACTGACTGAAGCCCTCTCCCCCCCCCTCCTACCTCACAGAGAATCTCATTTTAGTCAGAATACTGTCAGCCTCCCCGCACTAGGCAAGAAAACAGGCCACTACCGATGGAGGGGCCCACCCTAAGGGCAGTCTCAGGGCTGCCTAGGTCCTCACCCCCTTCTTCTCTGCCTGGCACCCTCAACTCCCCTCCTTTGTGTCTCTGTCCTCTGCTGCAGCACCTTCCTATCAGCACTGTGAAATGGACACCTCGCCAACTTGAAACAACCCCTCCCAGGTTTGTCAGCCGTCCTGCTCTCCCCTGAGATTTCTTGGCCCCTGAGGGGTTGGCATTCATCTGTTTTTCCTGTTATCTCCAATTACAGTGGACCCTGCTGCCCGAACCACTCCTCCCAGCCAGCATCTGTCCCTACAATCCCTCCTCGCCAGGTGTCTCCTGATTCTCTGAAGGCCCCGTTCCCCCAACCCGCAGACATTCCCTCCTGGGATAGCCTCCTGTGGTTTCTGTGACACCAGGCTCTGCTGTCCCTCCACCTCTCTGGGCTCCAGCTCCCCCTCACCTGTCCCCATCCATGCACACCTGCCCCACCTTGGACCAGCTCGCCCAGGCCCATTGCTCCATGTGCCACATCCTTGGCTCCTGGGCTTCATCCGCCTCTGCCCAGGTGCCCACTGATGCCTCCCCTGGATGTCATCACCTCACCAACATATCCAAAAGTGGACACTCCCTCCTCCCTTGTCCCTGCTCCCAACACACATGTAATCCTCACTTCTATCGACTGCAGTAAATACCTACTGGGCCACTCCATGTGCCTTGCCCTGTGCTAGGTGGCCCGGGGTCAGCAAGGCAGCAGGGCCCTGCTTTAGAGCGCCTTCAATACAGAGACGAAGCCAACTGTTAAGCGATCACAGGTGCCACCATCTACCCGGTTATCCAACCCAGAAGCCTGCGCGTCACCCGAGGTCCTCACCTGTGCTCCCTCCGCTGCTCCCGGCCCAAGCTCAGGTCCGGAGCCATGGCTTGGACCCCGCGGGAAGTGGGGGGCTTTGAGGCGGGATCGTCATCGGGTAGGGGGGGCCCTGAACTCTGGGCTCGGAATTGGGCAGTCCGGCCGGAAGGAGCGATCTTCTAGGCCGGAAGGGGCGGGATTTGGTGGCGGCGGCAGATCGCGAAGAATGGATACCGCCTTCATGATGCTTCCCGGCAGCTCGCGCCGGTGGGTCCCGCGCCGCTGGAGGGGGCGGGAGGTTGCGCGGCCCGAGGCTGGCCAGGGTGCTGAGCCTCTGGTGCGTCCTTTCCAGGCTAGTGGCCGAGCTGCGTGACGCCCTGGATTCCTGCGCCGAGCGACAGCGGCAGCTGGAGCGGAGCCTGCGAGTCTCCCGGCGGCTGCTGCGTGCCTGGTACGCGGACTCCGGGACCACCTGGCTAGGCCTCCCTCGGGCCGTCAGAACCCCGCTTAGCGACCCCGAGCCGGAAGGCCCGGCCCAGCGCTCACTTCGGAGTTGCGGGTTGTCAGTGCTCCCCGCTTTTTCTGCAGGCTCTGAGGCTGCGGGTCTGCCCCTAGGCCAGGCGGCCCTGGGGGCCTGTTGGGCCCGGGCCGTGCCTCCTGGCCGTGCCACGGCTGCCTTGTGTCTTCGCAGGGAACCAGCCGAGACCCTGGCTCCGGAGCCACCCCCAGGGCCAGAAACTAATGAAGAGGCCCCATCTGCAGGTAAACCTCAGCCATCTACCTTCTCCAGGTGCCGCCCCTGGCCTGTCTTCAGACATGAAGTGGTGAGGGACCTCTACATGACTCTTGGTTTTTGCAGCATGCATACCCAGCCCGCAAGACCTCAAGGAGCTGGAGCTTCTGACCCAGGCACTGGAGAAGGCTGTACGGGTGCGAAAAGGCATATCAAAGGCTGGAGAAGGAAACAAGGCCCTCGGCCTGAAGTCTGGGTCCATTGCCACTTCCCCTGCCACCAGAGCCTCTGCCCCACCCAGCACCTCACACAGGGCTGGCAGCCGTGCATCAGAGACAAAACCTCCCAGGGGCATCCGCCAAACCAGGGTGCCTACCAAGGATCTCCCTGAGCGCAGGCTTCTGTCAGTGGGGGATCAGGCCTGTATGGGGCTAGGGGCTGGAGCCACCAAGCCTAAATCAGGCCTCAGGAATGAACGAATAGTCCTGTCGGCTGCTTCTCAGGCCCCAGAAGCTTTTACACTCAAGGATAAGGGGTAGGTTTCCCAGACCCTTACTAGAGGAACTACTGTCTCTACCTGATCAGATCCTGGGCAGCAGCAGGAGTCTGGGTTTGGGGTGACAGGGAGGGCAGGGCATTGAGCTGGATATGGGCCAGGGGAACCCCAGGATGCCACCCCATGAGGCCCAAGCCCAGAAGCTGGCAGAGTGGAACAGCTGGCTGTGAAGGTGCCATGTCTGATGCACTGGGGCCTGACCTGTGCCCTATCCACTTATCCACCCAGCCCCAGGGTTCCACATGAGCTCTCGAAGGCCTGGGCTCTGCTTTCTCTTCTCCCTGCCAGGTGGCAGCTGGACTGGGCTGGCTCCTGTGGTCACCCTGGAAGCCCTGTCTGAGGGGTGGGTGAGCTTCATCCCTCACTGGGCTCTGAGTAGGGAGTGGGGCCTGCAGCCCCTAGAGTGAGACAGAGCTACCCTGAGCACCGGCTTCCCTGACAGGATCCTGCTGCAGCTGCCTGAGGCCTTCAGGAAAGCGGCTTCCCGGAATTCCCGGTGAGGCTGAGTCTTGTGGCTGGGTGAAGGGGGAGGGGAGACCAGGGGAGTGTGGAGAGCAGGGAGGCTGAGGCTTCCCACTGGTAAGACTTTTCCCACGGGTCCCTTGGCTTTCTTTGCTGGGTGGTGACACTCCACATTAGGAGAGTCAGCCTCCCTAGGACAGCTGTGGTCACCTTAGACTCAGCCAGCAGCTTCTGAGGCCCCAAGGCACTTAGTATCTCCAAGTCCCCATTTGTCTTCCTTGTGAAGATGATAATAATAGTACCAGCTTCTAGAGGTGTTGTAGGGGTTAAACGAGGTGGTGCCTTTTCGGGTGTTTGTGCTGTGCCTGGTACAGAGCCAGCATCCAAAGCTCTTACCAGACATTTTGGTCACCAGTCACTGCTGGCTCCTCTCCCCTTTTTCCTTGAATTCTCTCCTAGCATTTCCTAGAGTGGGTCAGCTCTGTCCCCTTTTCATGGACAGTGTCCCCCTCGGTTCCCCAGGACACCGAAAGGCCCCTCCTGACATTCAGTAGAGCCAGACACCCCAGGCTGGGGCCGCTACCCTGGCCCTTGTCTACTTCTCATGGCCCGGCCCAGCTGGCTGTAGTAACCACGTTGCTTTCTGCTTTGTGGGCTGTGCATGTGTGTATCCCAGCCTGTGGGCCCAGCTCAGCTCTACACAGACCAGTGATTCTGTGGATGCTGCTACCACTGCCAAAACGCAGTTCCTCCAGAAAATGCAGACAACTGTATCCTTGCGGGGCTTGGGGGAGTGAGGGGTGGGGGGCAGAGGTTCTGGCTCTAAACCTGGCGAGTCTGAGGAGGAACAACTCCAGGAGGGGCCAGAGCTACTCCAGGACCCAGCCCTTGGGGAAAGCGGAGGGGCCTAACCACAGCGGACTTTCCATGACCCGCACGCAGTCAGGCTGGCCTGGCCCCAGGCTCAGTGCCACCGAGGTGGAGGCAGAGGTGCGTCACCTGCAGAAGGCCTGCTTGCTGCTAAGACTTCGAATGGGGGAAGAGCTCACGGCAGGTTAGTGGGCCCTTAGTTGCGTCTCTGGTCGGGGTGGGGAAGGCTTCAGGACCGGCGTGGACCTGGCCTGCTCCCCCTGGCTCTCATGTAGACCCCAAGGACTGGATGCAGGAGTACCGCTGCCTGCTCACCTTGGAGGAGCTGCAGGCCATCGTGGGGCAGTGTCTCCACAGGCTGCAGGAGCTATACACAGGTGAGGCCTGCTCCGCCCGTGCTGAAGTCTGGAGTCAAAGACCTAGCCACGGGGTGGTGTTGGGACTTTAACAGCAGCTTGGGAGCAGAGGCAGGCAGGCAAGCTGGCCCTTTCCTGTGTCACCCCACTGCATTCTGAGTTCTCTGCAGTTGTGCTGTGGAGCTGGCCAGCACAGCACCCCTGCTCCAATTTCTCTCCCAACACACAGACCCCACCACTCCGAGTAGCTTACTTATTTATCCAGTTATTGAAAAAGTGCCTTGTGACAATCAGAGAGGTACTGGTAGATGCCTGGTATTGCAGGAGTTAGTTGTTTATGGACAATAGGGCTTCATACAGAAGGCAAGGGGAGACTTTGCACCCCCTTAAAGGGGCCTGGGGAGGAGGTGCCTGGCTTGTGCCCTGTGAGGCCATATCCCCTGTCCTCGCAGCAGTGGTGGAACAGCAGCTGGGGCCGTGGCCTGAGAGGAGGTTCCCCAGGGCCTCCTTGCCCTGTGGAGGAGAAGCAGACCCTATCTGGAGCCCCCAGTTGCTTCTCTACTCTAGTACCCAGGAGCTGCAGACCCTGGTGGCCCTCAGGCTGCGGGTGGCCATGCTGCACCAGCAGATCCACCTGGAAAAGGTAATTCTAGAGTAGGGAGTGGGTGACTGAGTGTCGGGGAGCCGTGGGCCCTGGGGAGGACTCTAGGTCTGGAGCCTCATGAGGGGTTGGCCTCAAGAGCCTATCTGTGCTCCTCCCGCCAAGACCCACCAGGGAAGGGTGGGAGCTGCTGGGCCTGTGCCCCTGTGAGGGTGCTGGAGCTTCTGGAGGAGGGATGGGCTGGGGCATGGTGCCTCAAAGCCGGCCCTGGTTTGAGCCCTCCTCTGGGGGCCCTGGGCCAGCTGGGACAGGGCCCGCTTGAGACCTTGGTCCTGCACCACCCACCAGGTCCTGATGGCCGAACTCCTACCCCTGGTGAGCAAGCAGGAGCCGCTGGGGCCACCCTGGCTAGCGCTGTGCCGGGCTGTCCACAGCCTGCTCTGTGAGGGAGGCCAGCGCTTCCTCACCATCCTACGAGAAGATAAGCCTGCTGACTGAGCCCTTCCCATGGCCAGGCCCACCCCCAGTCCCCCAGAACCCTGCAGCAAAGGCAGGCTGGCTCTGCCCCTAGCCTGACTGTTGGTGAGAGCCCCCCTTCCCTAGGAGGAATCAAATGAATGGGCATTGAGGGGATTTTCACTGGTACAGTGAGCCAGGGGCCCACAGATGTCTGTACCCCCTTAAGAAACCAGGTTTCCAAGGGGCGGGGACTGCCCCCTGGCTCTTCCTGAGGAACTTAGGGCCTTTCTAATGGCTGCTAAACCTGCTGGTCAGGGCTCAGCTTGACTTGGCTTTCCACAGGCTCAGGAGACCTGAGACTGGTGGGGGCTTTTCTTAGCTACTTCTGTTTTCTCTTGCTGTACACTTAAAAGCTACTTGTGTGACATTAAAACTACTTTAGAAAGTTTATATATTTAAATCATACCAAGGTGTGACTTGGTGCATGTTTGTTTTCTTCTTTGTGTTTATTATATACCAAGAATATATCAAGTATATTTACCAAGAATAGGCATATCCCTTGTGTACTGAAGGGAGGGGGCAAAGCCACTCAAGGTGGGCTGCCCTGGGGACTTGCCTCATGCACTGGCCCTAGCATACCTGAAACCTCTCCCCACAAGTGCCTACATTTGTACCAGGCTTATCAAAAGACAAAAAAGCCACAAGCCAGTATTGCAGTGGATGGCCACTGTCTGCCCACAGCCATCTTTCCTGACACCCATGCCCACCACCTGCTTCCATGCCATTGCTGTGGCTGATGTGGGCCCCCCAGACTGAATCCACCCCTCCCCTGCTCCACTGTCACCTCCAAGGCTCCTACCTCCCCTGTTGAAGGAGCCACTGTTTCTTGGAAGGCAAGAAAGTGTAGAGGTTAAGGTCACAGCCTCTGGGTTTACAGGTCACACATCTTGGGTTTACATCATGACTTGTTTGCTGCTCTGGGACTTCCAGCACAATTCTTGAAGACTCTGAGCCTCAGTTCCCAGTGTTGTCCCCACTGTCATACTGGGGTAGTGGTTATTACCACTGGGCTGAAGATGAATAAGATGGTGTTAGATGCTTCACAGCTTTGCACCCTGGTGAGAGCTTCGAGGCAGTAGTGTCCCTTTCATGAGCCTTTAGTGAGCACCTTTGTGGACCAGGCACAACCCTCAGAGCTAGGGCAGTAGCCCTTTTTGTGGACAGTGATGTGTGAGACCAAATAACACCTGCTTCTGCCCTGAGAAGCCCAGGCCCAGGAGGCAGATGACTCCTGGAGAAGGCCAGGTTTTCTGCAAGCCTGATGAAGTGCTGCAGGTATGGGGGATGAACTGGGTGAAGTTGAAGCCGCCTCAGGGTAGCCCCACCCTACAGGAGGCCCTACTTGTAAAGGGCCCCACAGTTCAACAGGCCAGAAACCTTGGACATGGAGTCTCAGGTCATTGGGGCTGCTGGGGACCAGATGACAGACCAAAGTAGAAAATGAAAAATCAGGGCCCTCACTGCACTGAGGAGGCCTCCAGGGAGTGGAACTCCAGAGCAGGAAACCCAGGGAAAGGGGAGAAAGAGAGGGAGGGAGCCTGGGGTACAACCACCTCCTTCTGGCCACTCCACTGCTGCCTCCAGAGCTTATGTCCAGGTGCTGGGATCTGGAGGAACCCTTAATCTCCAGGGCAAATCCCACCACCCCCCTGTTACTGGCCACCCCAGAATCTGTAGCAGGTGGTCTTCACTGCAATTATTTCACCCACTGGTTCTCTTAGTTTATTGTGCACTTTATTCTCAGGGGTGCTGTCCACCTGCATCTCTAGCTAAGCGCAGATGGGCACCCAGAGGTTGTTGACTCAATGACCCACCTGGCCAGTCCTGGGCACTGGTGGTGTCCTGTGGACCTCTGTGGGCACCTGGGCCTTCATGGGCAGGGAGGTGCCAGCAGATAACATGAGGGGAGAGATCTAGGTAGGTCTTAACACAAGGCACCCAAAGCAGAAAAGGGAGACCCCCTGCGAGTTAGTGCCCGCCCACCTCGATTCCACACCACGCCGGGAGGCTGCAGCGAAGAACTGTCCCCGTGGCGTCACTGCATCGCCGGCTAATCTGCTCCGACGTGGCGGGCAAGCGGGGCTGCAGGGGGCGCCCACACCCACCCGGGGCGCAGACCCCGCTTCGGTAGCAGGAGTGCGGTCGAGCTCCCGCCCCCTGCGCCTGCCGAGGCCCCTGAGCCCCCCGGGGCCCTACGCTCGCTGCTCTTGGCCACCGGTGTCGCGGGGGGGCTCTTGGCCGCGCTGCGTCCTGCCGTTCGGCGCCTTGGTTCTGCTTGCAGGCGCCGCTGCCACGGCCATCACCTTCTCGCCGCGCGGACCCCGCCTGGACCTGGCCCAGGTCTCGGCGCGGACCTCGGGCTACTGACCGCCGCCTTCCTGTGCTGGCGCGCGCGGCGGCGGCGGCGGCGGCGGCAGAAGGCCGGGCGCGGGGGGCGGCGGGAGCCGGGGACGCCCTGAACCCACGCGCCAAGCCCTCTCCCCTGCGAGGTCACGGCGAGCCGGCGCCTCCTCCCTCCGGATCTCTCCTGGGCCCGGCCGGCGCGGTGCCAAGCGCGTGTGGCGGAAGCCTCCTCCCCAGACGCCGTCCCCAAACCATTCTGTTCTGAACCCTCAGGATGCCCGAGCTTTGGGCACTTCGAGCCATCTCCCTCCCCTCCCCCGACTCAGCTCTCCCGCTCTCGCACCCGCCTCCGCCCATGTTGCTTCTGAGCATTTCGCTTGGCGCGCAGAGCCGGCCTGGCTGAGCGCGGGGCTGGCGGCAGTCTGCACGGCACGGGGGCCCTGCAGGGTATGCAGGGTCCTGGCGGCGGCGGGCCGGGGAATTGAAGTGGCTACCCTCCTCGGGGCGAGGCACAGTGAGCTGTGTCCTCCTCCCCTAGCTGTCCAAACCCCACTGGTTTGGACGCCCCTCGAGGCAAAATAGGCGCTCAATAAATGTTTGTGCTATATATGAACAAGTGGTGGCTTGCAAAAGTCTGGCGGGGACAGTAGGTCCTGGGCCTAGCCGGGAGTATTTTATCAGTTGGCCTTTTAAGAGAAAGACCCCAGCCCCCTGAGACATGTCGGGACCCCCTCGGTCCCTTTTCCCCCAGAGAGGTTCCTGGAGCCCCAGAGCTAGCAGCTGTCACTCTGAGTGGGGGCAGGGGAGGGGAGGCCTGCAGCAGCCTGAGGAGTTGCAGGTGGGGAACTAGAGGCTGAGCCTCTTCTAAGGTGCCAGGAAGGGGCAGGGCCAGCAGAGAGGTGTGAGGTCTGAGAGGCCCTAGTCAAGGACTGGGGACAGATGGCTGAGTCCCAAGGAGCACTGAGCCTGGGTGGGGGGCTGTGAGGAAGGCCCTCCGTAACTCCCATCATATCATCTGCCAGGGCTGCCCCCGTAGCCAGAACAGAAAGCACACCTAGGGCCACTCCAGAAAAGAGCCTGGGCTGCCTGCAGCCACCTCCCTGGGGAGCTAGTGGGGCAACGACG